TAGTGCCTTCCCTTTACAAGATTCGTCGATTGAAAGACTCACCTGAAGTCTTCCATGCGGCCCTCAAACTCCGCCTCCATTCTGGCCCTCACTTCGTCGCGCGCCTCCTTGTCCGCTGCGTCGAAAATGTACACCGCCCAGTCAGGGGCGCTGGCCAAGTCGGCGAACGCGTCGTCGCCCTTGACCGAGTCAGCCACAGTCAACCCTTTGCTTGGGGATGTGCAGGAGTAGAAAAGGAGAGCAGCCGCGCAGGCTAGCCAACGCAGTTTTAACATCGCGGGGCGCGAGGAGGGCGCCAAGAGGGGGGGCAAAGTGCTGGGCTGGTTTGTCCAGCTCTGAATCACGAAAGCTTCATAGACTTTGCTTGTGTTCAGCATTTGGTTTCAACGGACTGATCATAGACACTGCTTTGCTCGGGCAGAATGGGATGATGACGGCTACCTCATTGCCTTGTTCTGTAAAAGTGATGATGAATTACGAAGCGCCTTGAAATGGCAACCAAGGCTGCCCCAAAGTGCGTTGGGCGTTGCTGGCTCCTTGCCTAGATATGCAGCCCCGGCTGATGAAAAGGGCGCTGTGGCCCTGTAGTGTGGGTGGCGTGACGGCACCCCTTGCCGTCACAATCCTCTCAGCAGCTCGCAAAGAATCAGGTTCATCATAGCTCATTTGTTGAGGAACACTTATTGCACATCAAGGCAAGGAGATAGCCGGTAGCTCGTTGGTTTGCCCGAGAAAGCAGCGTCCATGATTTATGTATCGAACCCAAGAAACAGCACGCAGGGTTCACCGCAGTACATTGAAGCAGAATAGCCCTACGCTGGTGTGCACTACCATGCGTGTGAAAACAGCATCGAAATGGGGGTTGAGTACTCCATGCCGAGCACACCCGACGTCCTACACAATCCGCAATATGAGAAAATGCCCAAAACCTCCTTTACATCAACGAGTGAGTTTCGCACAGGACCTTCCAGCTGTGGGGGCGTCGCCGAGCCCAACAACAACTCTTGTCAGTCCGATTGACTGCCGATCTGGGGCAGGCCCTCCACCCTGCGATTGGGGCACAGCGCCTTCCTGGGAGGCGCCTCCTTTGCATTTTGTCATCACATTTCCTGGGAGACACGCCCAGCGACTGACCCTGCTCATCCTAGGCTTCTGCCAGCCTTCCAAAGAATGCGAACCAATAAACGAATTCCGAGACAACAAAACTCGAAACGCCGGCCAAAGCGACGGGCAGGGTTCCGCCACCGCCCCGAAGGGCAGCCCAGACGCCACACCCGTGACAAAATGCTACAGCCGGCAACACGAATGCGGTTTGGGCCAGGCGACCATCAATCCCTGGACCCATCTACCGCCGTCCTCCTAATGCTGCGAGCACGGAGACGCGCCTAATCAACTCGTGCAACTGGGGCGAACAACAAATCCGACACATTGACAGCATCGCATCCGCCGGTCCTCCAAATGAGCATCCTGCCACCAGGGCCAACAAATAATGCAACAAGATATTGCACAGCCAAGAAAACGCCCCCCAGAGGGTGGGAGTGGGGGTGTTTTGCCCAACCACCCTTAATCAAACCAACCATGCACCCCTCTTCTCTGTAAAGCCAATGATGGTAGACCTACTGGAAGGCAAGCTCAGCCTACCGGAAATTACCATTCAAAGAGAGATGCCTGCAAACTGTCAGTCGCCTTTTCTTCTCCTGCTGATCGACCTCGTTCGATGCCCCAGATCAGGCAGCGAGCACTCTGTCCGACCAGTCGGCCATGAGCTGCCTTGAGAGAGCGGGTAGGTCAGCGATTGTGTCCTGGACCAGCCTCCCGGCATCCACATCGTCTCGCACCAGCTGCAAGCAACAGGTGAATATCATGGACATTATCTATTTCCACACAGTTCTATCATATATCGAGGTATATCACAACTGCTGCCCTAGTGGATCAGTGCTTTGCTGTGAGCTAGAAAGGGAACAATTCTTATAATCCTAATCTTGTGGGGCCTTGCGGTGAGATCGATGCTGTTCTGCCCAGACTGTAGCAGACAGAGACAGTACATTTCCTGACAGCGACTCGAGTTGTCTACTTCTCACATTTTAGGAACATGTTCGGACCACGTCATGTCCCCTGTGCATGATACAATAGACATTGCAAATTCAACACAGCTCAATGGTTCTTTCCCCAACAGCAGGCTCGGTTCAAACAGGGCCACATGTGGTTTCCTTCACACCCACCTCCACAAGGCTCCTGACCTCCTCCAAATGGAGCCTGTCCTCTTCTGTGAATGCCATCAGCAGCTGGCTGCGCAGGCGGTCATCCATGAGCAGCAGCTTCACGCCATCGCGCACCGTCTCGTTCAGGTCCAAGGTGCTGCCTGAGCCACTTCGAGCCAGAGTGATGAGGTTCTCCAGACGCTTCCATTGGAACTTGCCATCCTGAAAGAGCACCTGCAAACGACGGACTGACTTTTATGTTGCTATACGTTGTGTGATTTTTGGAATGGAGAAAGGGGCAGGGAATGGACTGATGGGAAAACAAATTGTGGAAGACAAAATCAGTGTTCTTTGAGCATCAGCATGTCGAAATAGTTGTGCTATCGGAGGGGCTACTTGTGCAACGATGCACAACCTGCAAAAAGCATCTAATCAGTTCTCATCTGACCATCCTCCAAGACGTCTTCAAGGCATAGACAAACTCCAGAACACAGGTGGACAAATTGTTTACAGAGCAAGTTGGAGTGGGGAGGTCATGCACCAGAGCATCTCCGGGTAGTGCATTCCAGCTTTATGAAAGTCGCCTGAAGGGTATTTTCTCACACTTCTCTGAGTGGGTTCCCAATTGAAGTGCACAACTTTCAAATCATCACTGTCATGTTTTCTCAATGCAGTCAGTCAAAGAGGAAATTCACATTTTGAAACATGCAAAATCCAATCACCTCAATTTCGCCTCACCTGAATGAGACGTTCCCTGAGGACAGGGTCCTCATCTGTGAGCAGCCTTCGGGCAACGTAGGGGTAGGCGACTTCCAAGAAATGAAAATCACGATCGAGGGTAAGACAGATGCCCTCCTGAGTCAGCAGGGATCTGTGCAAGGCAACACAGAACACTAGGCACTGCTTTTGTAGTCCAACATGGCAAGTCGCTGACACAGTGCAATTATCCTCCTGTCAGCGACATTTACATCGCCCAAGTCAACTTGCAGCAGTTCACAGGAGGCGTTTTTTGATACAGGCAAGAATGGAATCAACTCGTTGAGCTGCTTGCATAGGGAATGACATGCCTTGTTCATGCCTGTAACCCCTCACCCAGCCCTCACAACATCGCACCTGCCATCCTTGCCACATTTCCATCACGTTAGCAATGTCGCCCCCAGTCAGGGATGAGATTGTATGTAGTGCTGGAAGATCGGAGGGTCATTGGGACCCAACAGAGGCACACTGCTCTTTAATGTTGGACTTCCATGCAGTCACAATCATGAAAACACTTTGCACTGCCTAGCAACAACTCCATCAAGACAACTATGGTACTAAACACTCAGATGCGCTGCAAACATTCAGAATCAAAACGACCATAAATGCAATATACAATATATGACAAAGCTCACAATACATACCAATGCAACAACCTGCAATACAGTATTACAAAAATAAAATACCTGGAAAGCGCTCCAGGATCCAGGGTTTTCAGGCAAATTGTGATGGACTTTGGATTCCCTCAGGCTTGCATGCAGGCCCAACATAAGCACAAATATGGACCCCATACTTGCTGCTGAAATGTGTGTGCATGGGCTGGAGACATCGTGCTCTAACTCCCGTATTAACCTCCATTTCGGACAAAAGGTATGCAGCCCAGTGTTATGTACAGCACTTTGTCCCTGTACCCAGAAGGCCCAGGAATACATAGCCTTATCAACAACAACAAGCACTCTGCAATCCCCAGCCCACCCACCCACCCACCTGATAACCAAGCTATATCGCTCCGGTATCCGAATTGGGTACTGATACACGAGCTTGTTGAACTTCGCAGTGACGCTGCGGAAGTTGAAGACCTCCAGGCTCTGCCCCAAGGAGTCTTTCCAGATCTTCTCGAGCGCGGGAATGATGGGCTCCACATCTGTCCCAGGCGCCAAAAAGCCCAGCTTGATGAAGTCACCAGCCATGTTGACATAATCGTTGTTCACTGCATGCACCACGGCGTCGACAAGGACCTGCTTGTTCTCCTGGCTGATCTGGGCAACGTTGCCAAAGTCGACGTAGGCGATGCGGCCATCACGCAGGGCGAAAATGTTGCCTGAAGGGGTGGCAATGAACTGAATGGTATCACAAGATAAGACAACCTATGACTGGAAGCCGAGATTCTCGTTCACTAAACAAGGGAGCGCCTCTGCACCAGCAGGGCTGATGGGAACGGCACCAGTGATTCTTTTCAATGGCAATAATCTCTACATTAACACACATGCGCAGTCGGTGCTAGTACATTAGTGCGGTGAACCCTCATGAAAATTTAGGGAAGGTAAAACTTCAAGACCGACCTTGCTTAAATTGAGAATTCAATATACGATGTTCAATCTTTCAGACTTTCCCATCGTGTTGCATTTTTCTTGTGATTTGGCACAAGGCCCACATCTCTTCTGTTGTGACAGGGGTGGCACCTGGATTCTCGAATGTTACTTCACATTTGGATCAAAAATGAAGAGGAAACAGCACAGGGCGCTCTGCCCACAATGATGACACAGCAAGGAGGAGACAGGCATTATTCATGCCAACACAGCACAGCGCCAGCGGCGCGTTTACCTACAATGCAGATAGAAAACAGAAAAGCAGAAACAAGCTGAATTGTGAATCACAAGAGTATGCTGCTCCATTTGCCACAGTGCAGGGGGCTGCATAGATGATACCAAATTCGATGTACTGACGAGACCAACAGCATGCACACAAGTATCGGACAAAGACACGGTTCATCTCGTTACAGCATTGCACAGTCGCATATCTGCCCAAGTTATGTATGTCTGGCCGCAGAAGCGCATCCACTCGAATATGAATGTCTGTCTAAAACAGGCTTGCCTATCGAAAATGCAAAGCAACACTGTCAAACTCTGGTGCTTTGGGATTAATAGCATCACGTGTGCAACATGTGCATCAATGTTATGCACCTGCACTTTTCATAAATTCCCCGCTCAGCATTCACGCAATCTGCTTGCCTCAGATAAAACAGACAACTCACTACCATCTCCCTCACCAGATGGGCAAAATTTCATTGGCTGAATCAATCGATGCAGCTACTCTGCTTGGCTGAGTGCCGGTTAGAGCACATCTTTCAGAAGAGGCGAACTTTGCAACAGGTTCAGGATGCTTCCCCAGATTTGGGGCACCCCATGAAACAATCCGCAATCCAGGAGCCATCGCAACTAGCACATGCAATAGGTGTATCATTGCAGCAACACTAGCATCTCTCTCTAAAACCAGTAGGGAGCTCTTCTTTACACAGTCTCGATCAGCTAAATCAACACAGCAAGGGAGTAAAGGCACCAAGCCAATGCGACCCAGCAGCAGTTGTGCATCCAGCTACAATTGACACAACAAATAGTGTGCCAAACTGTGAACCACTGGAACAGGCTGTTCTGCTCACCAGGGTGGGGGTCCCCATGGAAGAGGCCAAACTCCAAGAGCTGCCGCAGTCCTGAACGCACGCCGCAGCGAATGAACTCCTGCACGTCAAGGTCTGAATTCCTAATGCTCTCAGCGTTGGTGCAGCGGATGCCATCGATCCACTCCATTGTCAGAACGCGCCTGCCGCAGTACTCACGGCGCACCCATGGGATCTTCACTGTGGGGTCGTCCATGAAGTTCTTGCGGAAGTCCTGGGGGCATGGGAGGCAAGGATTTTTGCACTGTCAGGTAATGGGCCACTAACGATTATGTGTATTAGCAACAGAAAACCAGCATCAATTGTGACAAGTGATAACTGCCAAGGAAACTTAGATAACTTGGAGCAAGAAAGAAGTTGATGCGAAAAGCATGTACCTTGCTCAAGGTGTCATATCACTAACCTTTTCCATGGGAGTGTCATAACAAAATGGAGCACTTGTTCAGGTGCATGCAATCATAGCACTGTGCTGCGCACTGCAGCAGCAGTAGGAATACCAATGCACTACAAACCACCAAGCCTTGTATCGACTTTCCTGGATTGTATTGCTAATTTCGTGACCGCTGCCACTCCATTACCAGCGACCTCCTTGCACACCTGGATGTTTGTTGCCTCCTGAAGGTAGTCCAGCTCCTCCAGCAGCTTCTCTCCAAATTCGTCCACCACCAGCTCTGCCTTGCAGCCCAGCCGCTCAAAGGACACCTAATTGGAGTATGCATGCACTGTCATTTCAGTTCAATTTGTATCTCCATTTCCGCATTTTGTGTGGAAAGCAGAGAAGCAGTAAATGCACCAGCAAGATATGCCCTAAGGCCAAAGTGCAGCAATGTAACACAGTGAAGATAGCATTACTTGACAACACAACTGCAAGAGTACATGCAATGCGTGCATGCGCAAAGTATTTACCCAGCTGTCAATCATCAAGTGCGAAACCCAACATGCAGAAGCGCCCACAGCCATCCAGTGCTTTTGTAACCTGACTAGTTCATTGGGCGGTTGAAATTTGAGAAATTCCCACACAATCTATATCACCCGTTTTATAGCACATGCTATTGCACGGCCTATATACTGGTGCACTGTCTACAATATAGCACGCTATCCACTTCACAGAGCGAAGAAAGTCTCACGAACCAATTTGCACAGGAGGGGCTGCCCATCACATGGTGTAACCGTTTTGTTTCAGGATATCTTCTGTTCTACAATTGCCTGGGCACAAAGAGTCATGTTGGGCGAAATTGGCCTCAAAGCTCAAAACACTAAACACAAAATGAGACTCAAAATACTCGACACTGAGATATTAAAATTTGACCTTGAAAAGTCACGCACCTTGTCGAAGAACGTGGCAAGGATGCGAAAGAGGAAGAGGTCCGTAAAAATGATGGGCTCCACGCCAGGCCGTTGGACCTTCACGGCAACATCCTCGCCAGTCTTGCGCAGCACCGCCTTGTACACCTGTGAGGGCAGAACGGCATCCTCTCAGCACAAACCTGCATTTCCCAACTCATCAGAATACATGTTCTTCATACAATTCATCGTGGTGGTCGCGCTGACTGCTCGTGCTCGGTCCGCACTCAGTCGCTCCCAGGCACAGGAAGCAAGACCGTAACCAGATGCGTTACCTGATGAATGTAGCAGTTAAGTATCCATTTTCCCTTCCCGTACCTCCATGTTCATGTCACCACATCACCATCACCTTGTTCACCGTAACACATCTCCATACGCCATGCAATCGCTCGCTAACTGTTCCTTCGCCCTCACAATAGTCATTGATATTCAGCTAATACTGGTCCCACTTCCAGTCGTGCTCCGGGCATCATGGGCTCCTTAGATGATCCCCAGCTTCAAGAACCAAACGGGCAGTCCTCGCCTCCTGTGGCCATCTTTCCCGTCGGGCTCTAGTAACGTGTGCAGTACTTTAGGCAGTGTACCGTTCATTACCACGCGCGCCCAGTCGCCCAGTGTGGCGAGTGCCGGATGGCGGCCTGAAAGCCGGCCGCGCCGGCGTTCATTGACTCTGGTCAACTCGTGCCCCTGTCAACTTTGGCACCCACCCCATCCAATCCCCCATCCGTTTTACCCTGAGGGTTGAGTATCTGCCGCACGTGCTGCAGATGAGCGAGGTAGCCATGGGACAGTTCGTTTGCTACCGAACCCGCTCATGGAGAGCTCGCCCGGAGAGTGGGAGGCGTGGATCTTCGAGAGGCACCAGATTGATGGGGGCCCTTGCTACTGGTCGTTTTGGGAGCTCATTGAGGCCAACGTTCAAAATTCCAGGTGGTAACTGGGAGGTGGAAGGCAGGCGCTGCAGGGCGTGTGTGGGCATTGAGCCGTGTTGGGCAGCATCCATGCACTGGGATGGGCTGGTTCACTGTCGACTGGGGATGTTCTAGGACAGTGGCCTACCCGAGGCTTTGCAGGGGCTCATTGTTTTTGATGGTTGTCTGCGTTTTGTGTAAACTGTCCTGTTGTCTGTTGAGGTGAGGAGCTTGGAGATTCTGTGTAAGTTTCTGGGCAGAAATGCTGACGACACAAATGATGGCAACCATGCATGGCACAAATCGGCACATCTGCATGCGTCGCAGATGGGTGGCAAGGAGATCAAATGAACTGACAAGGGACAGATAAATGTTCTTGGACATTAACGTGCCAATCCTCGCCTCAAGGTGCAAAAGGCCCGATTCGTTGTTCTGAGGGTCAGATTTAAACAAAAGAAGTTTCAACTAGAGTGGACTAAGCACAGAACTGCAACTGGAATCAGAGTCTCCAGCACAGTGTGGATGCCCAGAGCAATCGCAACAGGGACAAAAAGGCAGTGTGAATATGCACATAGCATCGCCTATTGGGCGAAGGGGCAGAAAAATGCTGTATTTCTATTCGATGCTTCAGTACTTTACGATTCGGAATATTGAGGCACTGAAGCACTCCATTGCTTTGATATTAATATATCCATCCATGCATAATGCCTTGCATTTTCCTTGAAGGAACCAATCACGACTTGAGCACAACACACCTGGCCCAGCGATGCTGCCGCGACAGGTTTTTCGGAGATGTAGCTGAAAACCTCCTCCAGTGGCCGGCCCAGATCATCCTGTATGATCCTCATGGCCTGCCACCAAGATCAATACAATCACAATTGAGTCTTTCATGTCATCAGTGCTTGATGATCAAATTTATGGCCAAGAATGTGTGTAATGCCATAGTGCTTGTAATCTGCCTTGGAGGGTGCGATTTTGGCAAGTCCTTCACCCGCCTGACACTGGGTGATTGGTAAAAAGACAGTGACATGGCCAAGGTTCAGAGAAGTGCAAAATTAGGAATTGCATTTCCACTCTGTCCAGGTTTCAGTTTGTCCTGTTCTCCAGGACCAGAGGGCACATACTATTCCACCACATTCCAACTGTCTCACTTCTTCTAGAGTGGCACGAGGCTCGCATCGCCTCTGTTAGAATGGGGTTGGCACCTGAACTCTTCAATGTGATGTGGTATCTGGCACACAAACCAACAAAGCAGTGTCCCACTACTGCTGCACCCCAAAGTCCCTGTGTAAATATCCCTATGTACTTTGTGAGCGCTTGTGACGTGGCAGTGAGGTGTTCTGTTTGGTGGAGCACTGCGAGGTC